TCAGAGATAGCAATAACCAGACCACTGACGGAGATATTATTCAAACCTGATGTACAGACCAGATCAAGTGTATGACCATGAGTGTGAGTTGGAAAGTTAATGTTCTGAATAAGATCGAAACAGTCCAGTACAGTCAATAGTTGAGCAGTATTAGAGCAGACAGTGTCAACATGGATGTTAAAATCACCAAGTAAAATAACCTGGGACGACACAGCACAGGCTAACATTAGTGATTGACTGAGTTCTGAGAAGATGCACAGCTAAACAGATGAGTTTTGAGTCTGCATTTAAATGTGACTAATGTTTTAGCACATCTGATCTCCTCTGGAAGCTGATTCCAACTGCGGGCGGCATAATAACTAAAAGCGGACTCCCCTTGTTTTGTGTGAACCCTTGGTATTTCTAACTGACTCGATCCTAATGATCTGAGTGGTCTGTTAGGTTTACATTCAGTGAACATATCTGCTATATATTTAGGTCCTAGGCCATTGAGTGATTTATAAATGAGTAAAAGTACTTTAAAATCAATCCTAAATATAACTGGAAGCCAGTGTAAGGACCTGAGGACTGGTGTGACATGCTCAGATTTTCTGGTTATAGTTAGAATTTTGGCAGTAGCGTTCTGGATGAGCTGCAGCTGTCTAATAGTCTTCTTGGGAAGGCCGGTGAGGATTCCAAAATTAGTGCCACTGTTGATAAGATAAAAGGATTAGTGCTCTTTGCCCAGTGGGTTAGTCCGCTCAGTGCAAGTGGTATACAAATAACCTAAATTCCTCTTGTTCATGGAACCTGCCAGAAACGGTTCCATTTTATCATTTTACCTGTTCTGCTTAGGCTAGGGATAATGGGTCTTTCTGTGATACGTTTCGTCCTTCCATCCTATCAAAGTGCGGTCCAATATACTCTCTGATGGCTAATGAGAAACAAACCTATCACAAATGGCATTAGACTGTTTTTGTTTTCCGTTTGTCGACAACAGTAACTGAGAAAGAACAGGTGTTCTTTAAAGTTTTGTACCCTACAGTTTGAGAAGAGATGCTTGTGGTTGTGTCGGTTTACAGATTAGAGGTAAATGACAAGTTAATGGTCTTGAATGAAAACAAAGTATTGTGGTGCTGGAATGTTTTAATTGGCCCAAGAAGGGGGAGATTTGTGGGTCTTAATAGACGTTAGACCCCAGGCAATGAATCAAGCTGCTGTGTGGTCGGACAAATAGTGATAAATAACATTCCCCAGAAGGCCTCGCCCGAGCATGCGTGTGCCTCAGATTATCTCCTGTGTTGAAAGGACTCAATGTGTGAGTTTGTGTGTCTGTGACTGGTCATCTGTGTTGACTCACTGTTGATAAAGTCACTGAATTTTAAGGCCAAGAGCCATGTCAGGTCGAAGTTTGGCTAGTGCCAAAGGTGAACGCACTCTAGACTCCTCATTTTGAGACATAACAGACATAAATGGACTGGAATACCAGATCACATAATTTCTGAGAAACCTCCCCCTGCTGTACTCAAATATTTGCCTCTGGTTGTACTGTAGATAAAACATTCCTTCAGGGTTTTTATTTGTACACTAGATCCATGTAAAGTCCTTTTTATTTGATCCTGTCTAGCTACTTTTCTTCCATATGAACAGATTGTATGTTGACTGTGTGTGTGGACATTTACATGTGGTTATGCATATGTAAACAACGTGTCCTCACACTGTTGCTCTGTCTGTTGGTTTCCCTCGCACCCCATATCCACACACACATACCATCCTTTTCTAATATAAATGTGTGTGTTTGTGCAAGTCTAGAGAGCTGGCGCTAACTCCATGGTGACCAGGGAAGCATAAATAAGCCACCTGTCTAAAAGCTTTGCAGAGCTGGTAACTGAGCATACGCTTTAAAGCCAGTCTGTATGGACTCTCACATGTATAGATTTTTACAGAAAATGACAGCAAATATTATTATATTATTGTTATATTGTACATAATTCTACTATTATTTACTGTGCTTGTTGCTGTTTTCCATGTGATTATAATAAATGGGAAGTGAAGCTTTCACGCTCTTAAACTTGTTTATGCTATAGCATAATGACCTATGACCTGTGCATAATATTCTGAGTGTTCTAAAGCTTTGTGTGCCAAACACAGAGTTCAAAACATGAGTCTTTCTTTACAGATTTTATAATGTGCTGTTGTACCTGAAAGTAGAGCCGTAGTAGAAGGAACATGCACAAATGCTTCTATCCTGTATGAATGCAAAGGTGTTTGTTCCAGAACTTCAGAGCACACTTTTCCCATGAGTCCATTTGTGTACTACCAGTCTGGTGTGCAATGATGTGTGAATGAGGTGGTAATGGAACAGGAAATGGATATGACCTTGCCTCATGTCACCACTTGATATATTACTGAGATTTCAGAGGGGTTTGAATAAATGCGCAATATCTTACTGTGAAACCCCATGAGCCTAAAGGTAGATCAAGCCAGTAAATGGTTGTTTTTGCACATCATTTAAAAAAAATAATTTAGCCTATTTATTGTAGTCAGTTTTTCCATGTCTAATTTTTACAATATATCCATCTGTTGTTGTTGTTGTTTCCTATGCTTTTAAAACTTACTTAAGTCAGATGGGGCTTTTTCTTCATAAGACAAGACTCCATTAAAATACAAAATCCACATTTATACTCATCCTGTTGAGAGCCAGCTGGATTTTGGGATGTTCTGACCTGTTTTGCCTGCCTCCCTTGTCTTGAACCTAAAATGTTTGTGAGAAGGCAGCCAGAGTGGCTGATAAGATGGACAGAGTGTCTTTGAGGAATGTGCAATGATACGGCATGGACACTGTGAGAGCCTTGTCCGTATATTAGCCTGAGCATTCTGGAAAACAAGTGGCCACATTGCAAGCACTAATAGGACATGCATGGCCATCAGACGCCATGATGAGTCATGAGGACAGTCTTCATTAGAAGTTTGTTTTGGGAATGAAGAGCTGGGTCAGAGGCCTTGTATGTGAAAATTGCAACCACTGCTAGGAAACAGAGATGGACTGAAAGTGAATTTAATATTTTGTCATTATTTACACATTCTCATGATGTTCCAAATCCGAATGATTTTAGACATATTAGGTATTAGGCAGGATGTTCACGATTCTATTTTCCATATAATGAAAGTAAATAGTGACCAGGGGCTGTCAAACCTAAAAAGTAATTAAAAATACCATAAAGTAGTCCATAAGACAGGTGAGGGTGAGTAAATAATGAATATACATTTTTCTGTGAATTTTTACTTTAACTAGCACTGAGTATGTGAGGAGTAGGGGAGTACAGAGAAACTTTGTAGAGTTTTTGTACACAGCTGATAAACAAACAGAAGACTGATAAAATTGTAACATTTGCTAATATAGCGATCTGCATGGTTGTAAATAAACTGTGACCTTGGAATACTTGAAAGGCCAGAATGCTTATTGGCAAAACTCCACACAGACACATTAGCGTATAAATTGTAGCAACTAATGGCTTGTAGTTATGTAGCAATTCTCAGGAACATTACATCCTGTTATGTACAAGTCAGCCCATTCTGATCTAATAATTACAAATTGATTAAATAACCACTGTAGGATTATGAACATTGCAGGCCAGAAAACTCATTACTATAATGATTTTTAGGTGTGTGGCCAAACATTACTAATAATTCCTAGGGGTGTCCACAAACATTGTTTTCTTTCATTATCACTGACCTACTACTATGACTGCAAAGAACTCATTGAAAAAGAGGCTAAAACCCATCAAGCAAAAGCGCCTTAGTAAAAATTAAGGCAAAGTCACTAAGAATGATTTTGTAATCCTAATTCTAATTTTCAAATTTTCTGCAAAACTCTTCTTTGTGTGTTCCACAGAAGAAAAAGTCAAAGGCTTGGAACGATCATAGAGCAAATTGATATTGACAGACTTTTAGTTTTTATTAGTGAACTATCCCTTTAACAAGGGCTGGATAAACTAAAGAAATTCTGTAAATCAGGTAATAATGGTTTAAATATAGCTGAAACGTTTTACCAGGCAACTAGCATTGCTGTTGTTTAGTGTAACATTTTCACCAGGCAAATAGTGTTGTGCTTACTGTAGTTCAGTGCATTGTTAATTGGAGAAGTCAGATAGAGCAGCTTTTAAATAAATGTAGTTTACTGTCATTTAGTGCAGCATTAATTGCACCAGGCAAATAGCAATGAGTTTATTGCAGTTTAGTGCAACGTTAATTTGTTTACCGTCACCAAGCAAATAGTGTTGTGTTTACTGCTGTTCAGTGCAATGTTAACTGCACCAACCAGTGCTGAGTTTTGAGAATAAGATATTCTCAATAACTTAAATATTTTCCTAGAAGGCATGTTTAAGCCTAAATAATGGCAATTACTTAATTTACACACTGTATGCTGCACAATTTCGGCACATTTAAAAAGTCTTGAATAAGACCCAAGTTTGGGCACTGAAATACTGCTAAAGTGGTGCAACTATACTCACCCTGTAATATCGTTAACGTTAGCATGTCTAATCACCCGCTCCCTTCAACCTTTAGCAGACAGTCTGAGTATGAAGAGTTTGGACAGGACATGATTACGCTCCCACAAACCCCTGACAACGGATTGCTGGGAAGCCCTAGTACGACATAGTCCATCCAAACCTCAGATGGATTGTCCTACTTCATCATGTTATATAACATTCTGCAGCCCATTAGCACTGAATCAGTGGCCCTCATATTCACTTCCACCATCCGGTTGATAGTACAAAGTAATCCAGGAGTAAGAACAGTCTTTGTTTTGTTAACCCATGAGGAATGAGTGGCAGGAGGCCACTGAAAGGGTTAAAGGATAGACCACCGCTCCAATCAGAGTTAATGATTAGAGTAGAAACAGAACTGAAGAAATGAGGGAGCATGCAGGGGCTGTGCTGTGGGGGGATTTGTAGGGGAGAACAAGAGAGGGAGTGAGAGCAAAGGAGAGCGAGAAAGAGAAAGCCACTGTGCTTAAATCCAGCTGGCTGCCTCCCTGGGAATGTAATCCATATGTGAGCGCGAGTTCAGCTGAAGGAATAAGAAAAGATATTACCCGCAAAGAAGTGATTGTTTCTGTTTTTCTTGTTTAAATTCCACTCATTCTGGCCTCTGGACCCTAGCTCTGGTTCAACAGCCGACACAAAAAGAGAGGTATAGTGTGGAGAAGGACAAAGTGAGAGTTGAGAGAAAGTTAGAGAGGATAAAAACGAAGGCAAAAGGAACAGTAGAGAACAATATACCGATTAGGGACTTGAGAGAAGAATGAAAGAGGACACGCAGGAGGAAGGCGTAGTGAGGTAGGTCATCTGAAGTTTTGGTAATACTGGTTTATGTGCATAGGCTTTGTTCTAGGCTGTTTGGACTATGTCTGGATAGGAAGCAAGAGGAAACCATGTGTTTATGAAAGTGTGTGAATACATGAAAAGTTGGGGGTGTGGGGCTTCTGTAGGATCCAGAAGCCAGGACTATAGAACCACAACAAAGATTTTATGATTTTACAGCATGAGGGTACATGGGATTTTCTTTATCTAGATCATGTGAAGTTTACATTTTTCTTCCGAGAGTTCCTTTACATTTCATTCATGCATAAACTTAGCATTGGTCATATTTGATGTTATTGGATAACCAGTTGAATTCTGAATGTGCCCCATACCAGTATAGTTTATTTGCTCAGCCTATTGTGTTTTTGTATGCTACCTCAAGCGTTTTATCACCTGAATAGCTTTTTTAAATTGCTTTTCTTTTACTGTGATGACCTGAGATGATTTTGTTTGCATGGACACTCCCTTCAGCAGTCTATGCTTGAAAATCAATTTTAAGCTGGTAGCTGTTTTGGAACAGGATAATGGGTGTAAATTGGTCATTAGGTGTCTTGGTGTCTGGTCAACCAGCCTGGACCAACTAATAATTAGCTTGGACCAGCTAGCATGCTTCAAAACATAAGTACCGGCTTAAGATCTTCATCTTGAACCTGGTAGAAATTGCACACTCACAATGAGTTTCTAGTGTTTCATGCCAAGAAGATTATCAGGTTTAAGAGCCACCTCCCATCCATAACCCTTCACCTGTTTGTAAAACATTATCAGTAATGGCTTACCTCTATGTTTACTAAAGATATATCATCAATGAAATGTCTGGCTGCAGGGATTAGTGAACAAAGTGGGAATGGATATTTTCCTTTCCTTTATTGTTCCCAGATGGTAAATTTGTGTAAAGGTGGCGTTTGCTTGCAGACGTGAATGATAACCTTAATTAAGCATAGTACAAAGACTTGACGTTTCTAATCAGTGTGTGCCATGAAGGGCGTTTTGGCTGAGACCTGAGAAGAACCCCAGAGATCAAAGTTCAACAACTTGCAAGGTTCAGAATGCTATGCTAGGAATGTCCAGTCCTGTTCCTGGAGGGTCATTGTCTTGCAGAGTTTAGATTTAACCTACCCAAAACACACTTGACTAGAAGTTTCTAGTAATCCTGAAGACCTTGATTTGCTGACTCAGGTGTGTTGTGTTTGATTAGGATTGGAGCTAAACACTGCAGGATATTGGCTCTGCAGGAATAGGATTGGAACACCCCTGTGCTATACCAGTACCTGCTAAACTTTTTGTTTGTCCTATCATGCCATGAGAGGATTGCATCTCTTGACAACCACACAGGTGGTCAGTTCTCTTACACCTAAGTAAATGTGCGCTGACAGTAACAGTGGAAAGACCAGCATTCCCTGAGGCTCCGTGGTCGGCAAGACTTAAGAGGTATTGTTGGGAATTTGTTTTGATTTGAAATGATCTAGTGTTAGCACAAGATGTCCTGTTTTTTGTAAGATTGCAGCCTGCTAAGCCCTCAGCCAAGAGGATGTATGCGAGGAAAGAATTGGAGGTGGAATTATGTTCAGAAATGTTCTGGGAACACCTCTCTTCAGCTGGTGTGATTGTGTGCAAGCAACTACATCTCATCCTTCAATAAGGATTTGTCAGTGGGGAAAAAATGAGGCACATTCAGGTTGTTTGAAGCGCTGCTTGAGGCTTCAGGAGTGTCAGGAATGTATAATTTCAATGTATCGTACGTGTCTGAATTCCCTCACCCACAAGGTGTTTGACACGCATTGCAGTCTTATCAACACATCTCAAGTGAAATGTGGACATGCACGTCCTTACGCAGTAAAAACTAAAGTTTGAGTTCAGGTGTGTCATCATCTCTCATGTTCCACTGCAGTCTTACTACAGTGGTTTATCTAGGAGTGGCACCTGTTGTAGCTTGGCGTAGTTCTTCTCTGACCTGACACAGGAACAGGTGCACAAATAAGACTACTGCTGTATGGACCAAGACCAATCTGATTGGCTTGTGAGTGATCTACACTGCCATGTCACTTGCCCATGGAGCAGTTTGACTTTTTCCGGATTTCCTTACTGAGTTCTAAGCCCCTTCTACTGTGAAATGACATGACAATACTGATCTCAAATGTGCTGAAAGCATGAATTTACCAATTTGTCTTTAAATTTATGCCCTTTAAAACATTGCTGCTACAGTCATGCACTGACTGAAATATTTAGCCATTTTGTTGCTTCTTGTTCTGTTTTTTGACCTTATGAACATTTCGTTTTTAAGATGGAATCTTAAATCTTTTGTAAATATCCCCTGAGAAACTTGTCTGTTCAGGGTAAGGTGAACCCGAAACCAGCCTAATTATACAGCGATTCCTTAGCAGACTAGTCATTCAGGCAACCCACCAACTAGTTGTTTTTGCACAACTTTAAATTAGTTTTCATTGCATTATTTCCCAACAGACTCCCTCTGATAGCTGATTGAAATCCTGTTTTGATTTGTGCTTCACACTGAGAGCATGTTAATTACTTAGCATAACACTGTGTCCAGAATTGCAAGTAACTGAATGAAAAAGTTTGTTCAAACTAAAAATGCATCTATATGTGTGAATTTATTCATGCTTAGGGAATAGAAACTTTTAATTAGCACTTGTTTCCAGAATTAGCTCAGTTTGATATAGATGTCATCACCCAGGGAACATTAGTCTTAACATTAGTTTGTAAATAGAATCGGGTGGTACATTTCTGCAAATCACTTACCGCACTATAACCTGCATGAAAAAAATTGACCATGGTAATCATAGTTTTTCTCAGAATCTTGTAGTTACTGCAGTTGTTGTTAATATAATAAAACTGTGAAAACTTCTTATTAGCCACCACTGTCATTAAATCAAATTTTCAGAAAGCTTTGTACACTGTTTGAAGGAGATCCCATTTTAATGTGTTATGGTTCCACAGTAGTAACAATAACAGTAGTAAACTACAGGATTTTGGCAGCTACAGTGGTAAATATTTTGTAAGTGATGTCTTGTGTGCTTATATTCACATGATTCATTGAGCTTAGCGTTTTTTTTAAACAAACAAATTCTCATAATCCTTAGTTAACTTGGAATTGTATTATTTCTAGTATTGACTTTTTAAAGGGGTCATATGTTGCGATTTCAATTTTTTCTTTCTCTATGAAGTGTTACAAGCTCTTGGTGCATGAAGAAGATCTGTAAAGTTGCAAAGACTAAAGTTTCAAATCCAAAGAGTTATTCTTTATAAAAGTTATGAGTCAATTACACCTACCTAAAACGTCTCATTCTAACACGCCCCCTCATGTCTATGTTACGATGTGGGAAGATTTGCATAACCCCGCTCACATGTTCACGCAAAGAAAGAAGGCGCAACTTTTAACAAAGCAACTCGCTGTTGTCGCCGCTGTCATGTTGTGGAGTCGCTGTGTGTTTCGTTGTGAAAGCAAAACTACTTTGTTTGGCCTTCCAAAAGAGGACACGACCAGAAATCAGTGGTTAAGTTGTATTTACAACACTGTTCCAGAACAGTTTAACCCAAATATTCAGATGTGTGCTGCGCATTTTATAGAGGATGGATGAGAACTGTTTCCTGAACCAGTAGCCTAATGCGTCTGTGGCACAAAGGCTGTTTCTATAAAGTTGGGCAGTTCCAACTTTGCAAGTCCACAAATTACTTAAGTTACTCGGGTTTATAAACGTGCCTGACACTCCCTCTGATGCGAAATAAACCAATATCCCGAGTTATTCAGTTACTCCTAACAGTACATTGACTGAACTGCTAAAAGAGAACCGATGATGGGATGTGCATGAGCAGAGCAGCTGGACTGAGTCTCGTCCTGCTGGGAGACGGCATCACAGTATGTTAAGGGGCGTAACATTTCCGTCACACGCCTGAGGTATTCGGCCAATCACAACGCACTGGATAGCTGGCCAATCAGAGCACACCTAGCTTTTTTAGAACGATGAGCTTTGTAAAAATCGATGCGTTTCAGAAAGGCGGGGCATAGAGGAGAAACAATAATGTACATTATATAGAAAATAATGTGTTTTTTTTAACCTTAAAACGCATAAACACATTGCATTACACCAAATACACAACATAATATTCTTTTTAGCAACGTCATATGACCCCTTTAAGTTGTGCTCAAATAAGACTACTGCTGTATGGACCAAGACCAATCTGATTGGCTTGTGAGTGATCTACACTGCCATGTCACTTGCCCATGGAGCAGTTTGACTTTTTCCAGATTTCCTTACTGAGTTCTAAGCCCCTTCTACTGTGAAATGACATGACAATACTGATCTCAAATGTGCTGAAAGCATGAATTTACCAATTTGTCTTTAAATTTATGCCCTTTAAAACATTGCTGCTACAGTCATGCACTGACTGAAATATTTAGTTTTATTTGAAATTATTTATTTTTTGACCTTATGAACATTTCGTTTTTAAGATGGAATCTTAAATCTTTTGTAAATATCCCCTGAGAAACTTGTCTGTTCAGGGTAAGGTGAACCCGAAACCAGCCTAATTATACAGCGATTCCTTAGCAGACTAGTCATTCAGGCAACCCACCAACTAGTTGTTTTTGCACAACTTTAAATTAGTTTTCATTGCATTATTTCCCAACAGACTCCCTCTGATAGCTGATTGAAATCCTGTTTTGATTTGTGCTTCACACTGAGAGCATGTTAATTACTTAGCATAACACTGTGTCCAGAATTGCAAGTAACTGAATGAAAAAGTTTGTTCAAACTAAAAATGCATCTATATGTGTGAATTTATTCATGCTTAGGGAATAGAAACTTTTAATTAGCACTTGTTTCCAGAATTAGCTCAGTTTGATATAGATGTCATCACCCAGGGAACATTAGTCTTAACATTAGTTTGTAAATAGAATCGGGTGGTACATTTCTGCAAATCACTTACCGCACTATAACCTGCATGAAAAAAATTGACCA